TCTGGGGAGATCCAAGCCCTGCCTGGACAGGGTCCTCTGCAGCCTGCTGTAGGTGACCCTGCTTCGGCAGGAGGGTTGGACTAGGTGACCCACAGAGGTCCCTTTCAACCCCTACCATTCTGTGATTCTGTGATTTTAGGCCTTGCTGAGAACAAAGGTTCAGTTAAAGCTTAGGCGTTGTGGCCTCTGCCTGTGGCCTCCGGTCATGGAGATCATGGGAGCGTGGAGATCAGTTCAGTAGCTCGGCTTCGTTGTTTCCAACAGTAAAATTCCAGGTGAAGAATTTACCAAGCAGACTTCAAAGCCTGGTCTGCGGAGTCTCCTTGAGTCTGCAGAGAGCCTGAAACGCTGTCTGGGCTGCCTGAGGATGCTGCTGGGTGGACAGTGATCCCACAGACCCTGCAGTGCCTTTGCATGGTCAGCCCTGGGCAAGCAAGTTGGCCTCCGTCTCCTACATGGACTGGTCTGGCAGCCTGAGCTCCGGCTGCTCTAACACCCTGCGGATGTGGAGAAGCAAGCCACCCCGGTGGGGACACCCCTGCTGCCCTAGCTGCTGAAGGCAACTGGCCTCCTGGCCACTTGTCTTGCCCTTCCTGGGACACAGGTTCTCCATCCACCCCCCCAAGGGCCACCTCTGCAAAGCTGGGGAGCGGGCACTTGGTCTGCCTGGCTCTGCAGGTCTCAGACACATGCAGCAGCCCTTGCACAGAGGCGGGGACAGGTGATGCTTCCACCAGCCCTGCGAAGCTTCTCGGCTGGTACATTTGTTCATTAAAATCCTCAAGTGATTTGGAGTCCTTCAGAAGCGAAAGAGGCCAAGAAGTGACCTCCTCTCACCACCCCACAGGCGAGGGGATGTGCTGGTATCAAGCAGCTCACCAGGGACTTACTGGGTGGCCAGAGGGGACTTCATTCTGACTGTAGGAAAATTGCAGAGAACAGGGAAACCAGACCTGTGATGGAGGAGAGCACTCAGGGACCAGACCCTGCACTCAGAGGTGGCCGCTCTTACTTAGGCTTCACTTCAGTGCCTGCTTTCTTTAAGTCGATCTTATTTCTGAGCAGGGTGGACAAGAGCCCCGAAGAAGGAGGAGGGGCTCTGGGTGTCTGTCCATCCTCCTTTCTCCACTGCCTTCCTTTCCCAGAAGGATGAGCCTCCCACCCTGCACCCCCCATACAACCCTGGACCTTCCTGCATGGTGACTTGCATGGAGCAGGTGGCAGGAGATGGCACCCTTCTTCTTGACCAGGACTCTCTGCACAGCTCTGAGTGAAGGCATCCCACCCAGTCTGAAGCAAGGTCCCCACCAGCCTCTCCATGCTCCCTGCCCCCGATTTCATTCCCTAGCAAACCACCCAGATTGCTTGCTCAGCAGCCCTCACGCCCTGGCCCTGCTGCCCCTCGTCCCCAGGGCTCTGCACAGCTCTCACACCAACTGCTCGGGGACTAGAGCTGCCCCTTGGGTGGCCCCTGAGACAAAGTGGGTGCTGAAGCTTGGCCCTCTAAGGCCCTGCCATGCTCTAAGTGCTGGGCTAGTGCATAACAAGGGATGGCTGCTCCCAGCAAAGGTGGTGGCTCCTCAGCAAAATTAGGCCTTAGGAGAGCTCCAGCCTGGAAAGAGAAGTTCTGGCTGATTTGCTCTCTGATTTCAGGTCTTCCACAGCAGACAGGAATCATCCTTCCTTTCCCCCCCGCTGAGATGCAACTCCAGCCACCACCTCTCTTGCTTCTCTCCTGTTTTGTGCTTTCAGAGGTGATGTCCAAGTCCAACGTGTCTGGCTCTGTGGAGTCCAACTCTGGAAACATCCTTCATCCTTCTGACATGTTGAAGCAATGTTAATTTTCAGAGTCTGCTTGTGACCTCTCCTCTATGCAGAGAGAGATGAGCTGGCACACAGGGAAGCTGGAAAGGAGTGTGAATGCAAGACATGAACTTCTGTCTTCCTATGGGGGACTTGGTCCGATTAGAGCCATGCTGGGCTGGCACAGGTTTATGATGGGATGGAGTCCAGGCATTGAAAAGGAGAGAGGATAGTTTCTTGGATTCATAAGGCAGCACCACAGAAGACCATTTCTTTCTGTAGCTGTTCCCAGCATGGTAGCCTTCCTTGTGCATGTCATTATGCTCAGCTGAAAGCCTCGGTCTTCTGCTACAGGTTACACCCCAAGGTCTTCAATCCTTTGCCATGGGTTTTCCATGGGAGCAGAAACCAATCCAGTGAAGCATGCCGTGTTCCCAGCTGGAGAGCAGGGAAGGAGATAAGGCAAGGTTAGCAGAACCCTAAAGGAGCCTCTTTCATCAGGTCAGTCTCATGCCTTCTCCAATTGTTTCATCCCTTGGAGCACTTCAAGCCTACTATGAAGTAGTGGAGGAGCGGCTCTCACAGGCGTCTGTCCACAGTGTCATCTCTTGACCTTGGAGCCGAGACCTTTCTAAGGCTGACGCAGCTGCTCTAGCACACCCAGGTCTGCCACTGTAGGCTTGTCGGTGTTTGGACCTGTGGGTCCTCAGCAGGAGGAGTTGTTAAATAGGGCCGAATCTGGCTGGTGACACAGAAATACCCCCCCACCTGCACTGCACTTGCTGTGATGGCTCCAGCAATCCGCAGTGATTTTTAGATGCTCTACACAGACTTTTTTTGAAGCCTCGTTAAAGAAGCCGATTGACACAACTCCGACAGAAGAGACATTTTGAACTCTTACCTGAATATCCCCTTTGGCCATGCTGTTTCTTCCCATTCTCCCACCATTTATTACTAATGTATTGTATCGACATGGCTGGCTATACTACTCATGAATGAGGGAACATCTCTCTCCCTTGACTGATAGATCAATGTCCTTCCAGACCAACTTTCACGCCTACAATTTTTGCCAGCCTTGCTGTTTCCCTGCTCTTTCTACCACCAAGAAAAACCCTTGATTAGCAAAAGTTTGGGTCTACTACGTGAGATGAGGCCTCCTCTGTGCAGGTGAGAACATCTGCAGGAGACACAGACTGCAGGTTGAGCAGCGTGATGAGCTTGCCCATGGGGCCACTTCAGTGTCTGCTGGTGTCCCTGTCCCACACTCACGCTCATATACCCACCTTCCCCACTTCTTGTTGTGCCACTTGATACTGGCACTGACAGCAATTAGACAGCTGACCCCAGATATCCCTGGTTTATGATTGCAGACACGGTAGGAGCAAACCTAAACATGTTGTCACCTCTTCTGCTGCTGCTAGAGTACCTGCACCCAGAGCATCAACCCTCACCACAGTTACTGACTGAAAAAAAACGGCTGTAGGAGGTGTGCATGGTTATCACCAACAGACTAGCTTGCAGTGCCCAGGGCCAGCTAGTTAAATTGTCCGATACGAATGAGCACCAAAGTTTCTGGGGATAACAACCCCCAGAAGCACGGGCAGGGTGGCTCCCAGTGGTGAGGT